AAGTCTCTGTAGCGGATCCTTTTCACCCCAAACTACCCAGTCGGCTAGCAATAGAATAATAAAATTAATAATAATACGCCGGACCGGAGGCCGAGGCGTGAGTGAAGGGATCAGAGGAGGTGGGGTGACGGGTTTCCCCGGTCCCAGTCCTCCCCAGCCACCACGGCTAGCACTGGAATAAAGCCGCACGGTTGCAGGTACAACCAGGGCTGCGTGTTTTACTTCTGTGCTCCTGTCTCCCTTAACCTGTAATCTCGTGGCTTTTGCCGAAGCTGTCGAGCCGAATGACAGTGCTTTTCGGGAAAGAGTGAACGAGGCGAGGAACGGGGACCGACTGCCAAGGGCCCTTACACTGCAGGAGAACTCAGCCTAACACCAGCCGCGCGCGCGGCCCTCCAGGCCGCCCACCAACTGAGCGCGCGGCCACCCGACACGAAACCCACGCCCCGCGGCGCGACACTGAACGCAACCGCGCACCACCGAACCGCCGCCGCTGCGGCAAGAACACACCTGAACCACCGCCTCATCAGGGCGACAACCCCAGCCGGGCCAATACCCGGTGAAAACCCCGGGCGAAAAAAAACCCCATCCCCCTCTGCACCACCCACCGCCCCAACCACACCCAGACAAAGGCCCCCCCCCAGCCCCGCCAAAGGCCGCCGGGCCCGGCCGTCAACCGGTGCCCGCGAGCGGCCAGCCGATGGCCGAGCCGATGGTGGAGGCGTCTGAGTGCGGGGGAGGACGGATGGGCGTGTTGTCGAGTCAGTCGAGGGAGGTGGGCGGGGAACTAACAGCTATGAAAAGCTGAAGCTCTACAGAGTGAAAGGCAGAATGCCTGTAACGAGAGAGCTGAAGCGCAATAGTCTCGCCACTCAATTACGGTTGTACGACAGTCGCACAGAACCAGACTTAGAGGCTCCGATCGCTTCGCTCCGTCGCATCTAAGTCAACAATTCTGTGCTCCTGTCTCCCTTAACCTGTAATCTCGTGGCTTTTGCCGAAGCTGTCGAGCCGAATGACAGTGCTTTTCGGGAAAGAGTGAACGAGGCGAGGAACGGGGACCGACTGCCAAGGGCCCTTACACTGCAGGAGAACTCAGCCTAACACCAGCCGCGCGCGCGGCCCTCCAGGCCGCCCACCAACTGAGCGCGCGGCCACCCGACACGAAACCCACGCCCCGCGGCGCGACACCGAACGCAACCGCGCACCACCGAACCGCCGCCGCTGCGGCAAGAACACACCTGAACCACCGCCTCATCAGGGCGACAACCCCAGCCGGGCCAATACCCGGTGAAAACCCCGGGCGAAAAAAAACCGCCGCCTAAGTGCACGCGGGCGCGATTATAGTCACGCAGGCGCAGACATCCAAGCGCATGCGGGCGCAGATAAGATACAGTCCGAGCGCATGCGGGCACAAATTAGTCCTTCAAGCGCACGCGGGCGCAGATCAAGTCGTCCAAGCGCACGCGGGCGCAGGTATCCAGGCGAGCGCGGGCGCCGATACAGTCATTCAAGCGCACGCGGGTGCAGATAGGAGATCATCCAAGCGCACGCGGGCGCATTCGCGGCCGTCCAAGCGCGTGCAGGCGCTACAAAACTTCGACGAAGTCATAACGCAGGCCTGCAAGGCTGTGCTCAGCCGCGCCGCTTGTTGTCGCGCCCGTCGCGACCGTCGCGCCCAAAGCGGCCGTAATCGTCCTCACGCCTCCGGTCATGCTGCCCGGCGCCGCCCCGGCCCGCGCCATCGCGGAAACCACCCGCACCGTCGCCGCCCGCAGCGCCGCCACCCATGCCCCCGCCCGAGCGGTTGCTGGCGCGCTTGATCGCGGCGCCCTTCTCGCACTCCACGATCTTGGTCGGCTTGGTTTTCCCCCGGTACATCTCCTCGTTGCAGATGGATGAAAAACAGATGTCTGCTGCGGACAGGCCGATGCGCGGCTCCGACGCCAAGAGGTCGGTGCACGCCTTGCCGACTTCCGTCCGCCGCACCAGGGACTTCAGCACCTTGGTGGCGCCCTTGACGTCCGGCTGGTCCCCAGCCAGCAGCGCCAGAGCCAGCCTGGCCTGCGCCTCGAAACCGGAAAACACCTGCTTGCGATATCCAGAAGGGTCCGAGGGCTGCAAGGCGTCGATCTTGTCCACCAGTCGCGTCAGTCGATCGATGAATTCGGAGTCGTCCTCATCGCTGTCGGTGGACGAACTCGAACTGCTGTCCTCCCGCCTCTTCTTCTTCTTGTCCTTGGTCTTCTTGGACTTGGTGGGAGCCACCGACGCCGCAGGGATCTGAGGCGGTGACAGGACTGTGGCCGCCGGATTCGCAGCCAAAACTTTCCCCAAAGATACCAGCACCTCTTGCTGCTTTGTCAGCATCGCGGTCTGCTCCGACATATGTTGCTGCATCGGCAGCATGGCGTTCTTCACAGCTGTGTTGACTAGCTGGGCCCCAGCAGCGGGGCTGCCGGCCGGCGGAGGAGGACGCTGATGAGGAGGTGGGGTGCCACCAGCAGCAATGGTAGGAGGGCCCTCGCCGACCGTGGTGGTAACGGTCTGAGGGTTGCCGCCACCCGAAGTCATCGCACCTTGCTGTTGCTGCTGCTCCCGCTGCTCCTGGTTGGTAGTATCATCTGGTCCAGCCATAGACTTGACAAAATTAGAAGAGATGTCCGCTGAAGAGAGAGAGAAAGAGAGATGGTGACGAGGTAAGGCTTCAAATGGCGAGCTCTGCTCTAGCCAAATTGAACTAACAGCTATGAAAAGCTGAAACTCTACAGAGTGAAAGGCAGAATGCCTGTAACGAGAGAGCTGAAGCGCAATAGTCTCGCCACTCAATTACGGTTGTACGACAGTCGCACAGAACCAGACTTACAGGCTCCGATCGCTTCGCTCCGTCGCATCTAAGTCAACAATTGTTTATGCAAGCGTGCGCCTGCATCGGTTCAGCAGGTGTGACATCGGTTGTGACTTGCATGATCCAACAGTAACGTAACACCGTTAGCTAGAGATCGCAAACATGGCGTGTGCCAGCATGTTTTTTTGTATGTGGGGGTGTGGATGACATGCAAAAACGCGTGCCATGCTGCCATCTTCATCTGGTGCAAAAAGTACCGTACAAGGCTCAGCGAGGACCTGGCTACCACGTACGTAGAGCCGCAAGCTCCACAATATGTCCGTGGTGGGGCCGCCTGCGAAATGTAATTCATGTTCCTGGTCCTGTGGTCTAGTGGTTAGGGCACAAGACTCTAAATCATGTAACCCGAGTTCAAGTCTCGGCAGGACCTGCAGCGGATCCTTTTCACCCCAAACTACCCAGTCGGCTAGCAATAGAATAATAAAATTAATAATAATACGCCGGACCGGAGGCCGAGGCGTGGGTGAAGGGATCAGAGGAGGTGGGGTGACGGGTTTCCCCGGTCCCAGTCCTCCCCAGCCACCACGGCTAGCACTGGAATAAAGCCGCACGGTTGCAGGTACGACCAGGGCTGCGTGTTTTACTTGTTTAGCCCGTAATATAGGACATCATTACTGGACGACTGAACGTATAACGATTTGACACATCCACGCGATTTCGCCACGTCCTAACCGGTGAACGAAATTGGGAATTTCAATGTGTGTTGTTTTAGAAGACGATGTCCAAACAAATATGCATATTCCGTCTTTTGTGCCAATATGTAGCCCAGCCCTGCGTTTCCCGGCTTTGTTGTGGTGCAATCCGTTAATCATCCTGTTCCGCGTCCTTCACGGCAATTGTAAGTTTGCAGTGCGCACACCCAAAGCAATTGCGCGTTGCGTGTACATTCAAGGTACTGCTTTTTATGTCGTCACGTGGGCCAATATGTAGCCCAGCCCTGCGTTGCACGGCTGTTGTGTTTGTGCAATTCGTTCCTCAGCCTGTTCCGCCGCCTTTACGGCAATCGTAAGTTTGCAGTGCGCACACCCAAAGCAATTGCGCGTTGCGTGTGTACATTCCTGGTATTGCCTATTAATGCCTTTTACTGCTGTATTGGGGCACATGCGTACGGACGGCCGTTCCCGAGGACATAAAACCTCTTTTGGTTTCAGAAAACAAAGGCGGCAAGGGACAAACCATGACGACGGGCAAACTGCGGGGCTGGTTGTTGGGAGACCGGCCTAAGCACGTGCACCTAATGCGAATTGTAAATGGCAAGACATCGAAACACTAAATTTGCGCTCTACATTGGTGAATATTGGAGACGAAAGGATCCCGTCCGTCGATTTTGCCGTTCTGATACTCGCTCCTCATCTGCAACGATAGTTCGGCAACTACATAAGTGTCCGCGAGTTGACAACATGATCTGCTACTGTAATGCAACAATGATTTTATTAATTGGCATTAGCAGAGCCATCCACAGGTACGAAGCAATACCGTCCCCACGGCTGTTCCTTTAAATACATCGTCAACATTGCGACACTGCTATGCGGACGGCCCGGGGGGGAGGGGGGTGTGGGGGGATGGGCGGCGACAGTCCCCCGCCCCCCACCAGCGGGGGGAAGGGGGTCTGGGGGAGGGGGGCGGCAGCCCCTCACCCCCAGCTTGGCCCAACGCCTCTGACACATGGAAACGGATTCATGCATATCATGCATGGCAAGACATCGAACCAAATCAGCTCTCTCAGAACTGTTCCGAACTGCTTTGTTTATTAATGCATTGACCTCGCTCAACATTACGGGCTCCAGGGGCAAAGTTATGCAAAGCGTGCGCCTGCATCGGTTCAGCAGGTGTGACATCGGTTGTGACTGGCATGATCCAACAGTAACGTAACACTGTTAGCTAGAGATCGCAAACATGGCGTGTGCCAGCATGTTTATTTGTATGTGGGGGTGTGGATGACATGCAAAAACGCGTGCCATGCTGCCATCTTCATCTGGTGCAAAAAGTACCGTACACGGCTCAGCGAGGACCTGGCTACCACGTACGTAGAGCCGCAAGCTCCACAATATGTCCGTGGTGTGGCCGCCTGCGAAAGGTAATTCATGTTTCTGGACCTGTGGTCTAGTGGTTAGGACACATGACTCTGAATCACGTAACCCGAGTTCAAGTCTCTGTAGCGGATCCTTTTCACCCCAAACTACCCAGTCGGCTAGCAATAGAATAATAAAATTAATAATAATACGCCGGACCGGAGGCCGAGGCGTGAGTGAAGGGATCAGAGGAGGTGGGGTGACGGGTTTCCCCGGTCCCAGTCCTCCCCAGCCACCACGGCTAGCACTGGAATAAAGCCGCACGGTTGCAGGTACAACCAGGGCTGCGTGTTTTACTTCTGTGCTCCTGTCTCCCTTAACCTGTAATCTCGTGGCTTTTGCCGAAGCTGTCGAGCCGAATGACAGTGCTTTTCGGGAAAGAGTGAACGAGGCGAGGAACGGGGACCGACTGCCAAGGGCCCTTACACTGCAGGAGAACTCAGCCTAACACCAGCCGCGCGCGCGGCCCTCCAGGCCGCCCACCAACTGAGCGCGCGGCCACCCGACACGAAACCCACGCCCCGCGGCGCGACACCGAACGCAACCGCGCACCACCGAACCGCCGCCGCTGCGGCAAGAACACACCTGAACCACCGCCTCATCAGGGCGACAACCCCAGCCGGGCCAATACCCGGTGAAAACCCCGGGCGAAAAAAACCCCCATCCCCCTCTGCACCACCCACCGCCCCAACCACACCCAGACAAAGGCCCCCCCCCAGCCCCGCCAAAGGCCGCCGGGCCCGGCCGTCAACCGGTGCCCGCGAGCGGCCAGCCGATGGCCGAGCCGATGGTGGAGGCGTCTGAGTGCGGGGGAGGACGGATGGGCGTGTTGTCGAGTCAGTCGAGGGAGGTGGGCGGGGAACTAACAGCTATGAAAAGCTGAAGCTCTACAGAGTGAAAGGCAGAATGCCTGTAACGAGAGAGCTGAAGCGCAATAGTCTCGCCACTCAATTACGGTTGTACGACAGTCGCACAGAACCAGACTTAGAGGCTCCGATCGCTTCGCTCCGTCGCATCTAAGTCAACAATTCTGTGCTCCTGTCTCCCTTAACCTGTAATCTCGTGGCTTTTGCCGAAGCTGTCGAGCCGAATGACAGTGCTTTTTGGGAAAGAGTGAACGAGACGAGGAACGGGGACCGACTGCCAAGGGCCCTTACACTGCAGAAAAAAAAAGGAGAACTCAGCCGAACACCAGCCGCACGCGCGACCCTCCAGGCCGCCCACCAGCTGAGCGCGCGGCCACCCGACACGAAACCCACGCCCCGCGGCGCGACACCGAACGCAACCGCGCACCACCGAACCGCCGCCGCTGCGGCAAGAACACACCTGAACCACCGCCTCATCAGGGCGACAACCCCAGCCGGGCCAATACCCGGTGAAAACCCCGGGCGAAAAAAAACCGCCGCCTAAGTGCACGCGGGCGCGATTATAGTCACGCAGGCGCAGACATCCAAGCGCATGCGGGCGCAGATAAGATACAGTCCGAGCGCATGCGGGCACAAATTAGTCCTTCAAGCGCACGCGGGCGCAGATCAAGTCGTCCAAGCGCACGCGGGCGCAGGTATCCAGGCGAGCGCGGGCGCCGATACAGTCATTCAAGCGCACGCGGGCGCAGATAGGAGATCATCCAAGCGCACGCGGGTGCATTCGCGGCCGTCCAAGCGCGTGCAGGCGCTACAAAACTTCGACGAAGTCATAACGCAGGCCTGCAAGGCTGTGCTCAGCCGCGCCGCTTGTTGTCGCGCCCGTCGCGACCGTCGCGCCCAAAGCGGCCGTAATCGTCCTCACGCCTCCGGTCATGCTGCCCGGCGCCGCCCCGGCCCGTGCCATCGCGGAAACCACCCGCACCGTCGCCGCCCGCAGCGCCGCCACCCATGCCCCCGCCCGAGCGGTTGCTGGCGCGCTTGATCGCGGCGCCCTTCTCGCACTCCACGATCTTGGTCGGCTTGGTTTTCCCCCGGTACATCTCCTCGTTGCAGATGGATGAAAAACAGATGTCTGCCGCGGACAGGCCGATGCGCGGCTCCGACGCCAAGAGGTCGGTGCACGCCTTGCCGACTTCCGTCCGCCGCACCAGGGACTTCAGCACCTTGGTGGCGCCCTTGACGTCCGGCTGGTCCCCAGCCAGCAGCGCCAGAGCCAGCCTGGCCTGCGCCTCGAAACCGGAAAACACCTGCTTGCGATATCCAGAAGGGTCCGAGGGCTGCAAGGCGTCGATCTTGTCCACCAGTCGCGTCAGTCGATCGATGAATTCGGAGTCGTCCTCATCGCTGTCGGTGGACGAACTCGAACTGCTGTCCTCCCGCCTCTTCTTCTTCTTGTCCTTGGTCTTCTTGGACTTGGTGGGAGCCACCGACGCCGCAGGGATCTGAGGCGGTGACAGGACTGTGGCCGCCGGATTCGCAGCCAAAACTTTCCCCAAAGATACCAGCACCTCTTGCTGCTTTGTCAGCATCGCGGTCTGCTCCGACATATGTTGCTGCATCGGCAGCATGGCGTTCTTCACAGCTGTGTTGACTAGCTGGGCCCCAGCAGCGGGGCTGCCGGCCGGCGGAGGAGGACGCTGATGAGGAGGTGGGGTGCCACCAGCAGCAATGGTAGGAGGGCCCTCGCCGACCGTGGTGGTAACGGTCTGAGGGTTGCCGCCACCCGAAGTCATCGCACCTTGCTGTTGCTGCTGCTCCCGCTGCTCCTGGTTGGTAGTATCATCTGGTCCAGCCATAGACTTGACAAAATTAGAAGAGATGTCCGCTGAAGAGAGAGAGAAAGAGAGATGGTGACGAGGTAAGGCTTCAAATGGCGAGCTCTGCTCTAGCCAAATTGAACTAACAGCTATGAAAAGCTGAAACTCTACAGAGTGAAAGGCAGAATGCCTGTAACGAGAGAGCTGAAGCGCAATAGTCTCGCCACTCAATTACGGTTGTACGACAGTCGCACAGAACCAGACTTACAGGCTCCGATCGCTTCGCTCCGTCGCATCTAAGTCAACAATTGTTTATGCAAGCGTGCGCCTGCATCGGTTCAGCAGGTGTGACATCGGTTGTGACTTGCATGATCCAACAGTAACGTAACACCGTTAGCTAGAGATCGCAAACATGGCATGTGCCAGCATGTTTATTTGTATGTGGGGGTGTGGATGACATGCAAAAACGCGTGCCATGCTGCCATCTTCATCTGGTGCAAAAAGTACCGTACACGGCTCAGCGAGGACCTGGCTACCACGTACGTAGAGCCGCAAGCTCCACAATATGTCCGTGGTGGTGCCGCCTGCGAAAGGCAATTCATGTTCCTGGTCCTGTGGTCTAGTGGTTAGGACACATGACTCTGAATCATGCAACCCTAGTTCAAGTCTCGGCAGGACCTATAGTAGATCATTTTCACCCCAAACTACCCAGTCGGCTAGCAATAGAATAATAAAATTAATAATAATACGCCGGACCGCAGGCCGAGGCGTGGGTGAAGGGATCAGAGGAGGTGGGGTGACGGGTTTCCCCGATCCCAGTCCTCCCCAGCCACCACGGCTAGCACTGGAATAAAGCCGCACGGTTGCAGGTACGACCAGGGCTGCGTGTTTTACTTGTTTATGCAAGCGTGCGCCTGCATCGGTTCAGCAGGTGTGACATCGGTTGTGACTTGCATGATCCAACAGTATCGTAACACCGTTAGCTAGAGATCGCAAACATGGCGTGTGCCAGCATGTTTATTTGTATGTGGGTGTGGATGACATGCAAAAACGCGTGCCATGCTGCCATCTTCATCTGGTGCAAAAAGTACCGTACACGGCTCAGCGAGGACCTGGCTACCACGTACGTAGAGCCGCAAGCTCCACAATATGTCCGTGGTGCGGCCGCCAGCGAAGGGTAATTCATGTTCCTGGTCCTGTGGTCTAGTGGTTAGGACACATGACTCTGAATCATGTAACCCGAGTCTCGGCAGGACCTGAAGCGGATCCTTTTCACCCCAAACTACCCAGTCGGCTAGCAATAAAATAATAAAATTAATAATAATGCGCAACAGTATCACCGCAAGATCGCAAGCATGGCGTGTGCCAGCATGTTTATTTGTATGTGGGTGTGGATCACATTCAAAAATGCGTGTCATGCTGCCATCGTCATCTGGTGCAAAAAGTCTTTTTCATCTCAAACTATCCAGTCGGCTAAACCCAGTCTCCGTGGGTGCGTGGGTTGCGGTGTCTGGTCCGGTTGGGTCACGCACGCCTAGCTTATGCGTTTGTAGCGATTATAAGGGGGTTGTAACTTCGGATGACCGGACAATGGTTGGGACATATGAGTAAAAGTTGTATAGAGTAATTGACGGTACTCATATAAGCTGCCATGCCGAAGGAATATTTAATGGACTTAGACACTCTGTAAGCGTGAGGGTTCAAACCCACGCTGGCATACGTAGCACTAACAATTGCATTTCTCACTGAGTCGTTTTTGTTTTTTGTCTACAGCGGTAACTCTATCTTTAGTATATAAACTTGTTGTACTGACACAACGTTGGGGGTCTGGGTAGGCCTGCGGTTGAAACCATGCGAAGTTGACGATGAAGACTGGACGTATTATTGTACACCATACTGTATCTGCTGCAATAACCATAGCGCTATTGCGTAAGGAGAATGTCGGATCAGTTTACCGTCACCGGCAGTTTACCGTCCGTATTTCCTGTTATTGCGGATTTGCGTAGTTTGTTGGTTCTACGTCAGTCTTGGTTGTTCGCTTTCGAGTTCGTAACGTAGTATAGCTTACGTGAAGATCTCGGGAGTAGGATGTCGTACCGTTGTTTCGCGTATTTTAGTCGAGTCTTTGGCTTGTTGCCTTGTCTCGATTTGCTCTCAGGCAGTCGCCTGTGAGCAACTAGTAGGCCCCTTTCGTTAGGTTAAGGACCTGGCCTATCGGAAGAGACATGTAAGGTCTTTCATCGTCACTCTTTTCCCTTTGCCTGGCCGAGACACTTCCATCGTCCTCGTATTTGCACCATTTGTGCAATACTGAGCATTATGTGGTCAGCCGTTCTGCGTGAAGCCGACTTCGCCAGCAGCCGGTGGATGATCCTACCTACGTTACGGTGACGCCTTGTCGCGAGTGTGCCG